CACTGCCAAGCAAAATATTGGGACCTATGAAAAATTGCGTTAGATTGAAAGATATTTTGTTAATATTTTCTTTTGTGGAATTTGCCAAAAGAAGCAAAATCCTTTAGTTTTTATTTATTTTGGTTTAATAAATAAGCTTCGCTATTTAATATTGTTTAATTCATTTTGTTTTTCACTACAAAATTTGTAACTCGTAATTTGATAAACAAAGCATAACAAAGGTTAACATTATCTTAAGGCATTTATATTGTTAGTAAAATTAAATATTTTAAAAATTAATAAAAAATTTATTAACTTTATTTTATTATATTTATTTGAACTTTAAAAGTTGTCCCAACATATAGTTTGCTTAATTCAGAAACCTTGTTTTTTTTAACAGCATTATATCCAAGAAAAAGGCTGAAGAATTTCTTAAGGGTCTCATGCTATGTTATTCAAATACCAGAGTCTCTAGAAAATATTCATACTTCTCATTATGAACATATGCTATATTCACCTTTGTTCGGATACTAAGTCATGATGCCTATCACGGTAACTGTTTAGCGAAGCAACTGACATGCAATAATGCAGCCATATACTTTATGGAAATTCAATCAGTGCCTATAAATCAGTAATATGCTGTTATGTCTCCAAAATGCACAAATTAAAGGAATAACTAAAAATAAACAAACCTTGCTTCTTATTAACCCATTGGTTACTGCGAGTAAGGTAACACTCCTTTGGGGTCATATGAAATTCGACCTTATCGACACAGGTTTTGGGAAGGTGTTTGCACTAATTTCCTGCATAAGCCCTAAATCCTTTTGGAGAATACACTCAAAAAAGTTTTAAACTCAGATTAATCAATGATTTCGTTACTGAACATGCACATTTCCACTTTCAAAAATGGGACTAAATGTCACTGACACCTGTAGATTTTGTGAAATGCAGAGTGAAGCTTCCACCCATTTTATCTAATCATGTCCTGCTATAGCACTGGGAAACGAATTAATATATGTAGGTCTAAAATTTGTCATTTTATATCCCTTGTGGGCAGTCATGCACAGAAATTAGATGTCTTATTCGAATGATGCTTTAAATCCAGAAGAAGAAAGGAGAAAGAATTAACAAGATCCTTATTATTATTAGAATATCCAGCCTAAAAGTGTGCTTTTAGAATTTTTAAAAACCATTAAACCTTGTCGCAATAGTTACGTGTAACTCTTGAGTTCAAAGTATAAGTATCTTAGTAAGCCTCACTGCATAGAATACTTAATCACTGATAGCTCCATGGAGACACTGCTGACACATGGATGGTGTACGTAGATCGCGTTTGCTTTCCACCAAGCACCATAGCATTTCACTATAACTGCTCTAGTTATAGCGTGCAATGGTTTAAGATGTAACAGATTTATAACCATGTTCAAATGAAACTTTCTGCTAAAGTATAGCATCATCACACTATTGCGATTACTTTGCGTCACAATTTTCTCTAGAAAAAAGATACTAATTCTTGCTCACGTTTAAAAACAAGATAATCAACTGCCATTTGACGTAATATAGACTCAGGTTATAGCCTGATATAAGAAGGCTATTGGATTATCGTAATTTTAAAAAAATATGAATTCTTATTCCAAGAATTGTCTAACTTATCTTTCTATGCAATAATGAAATCTACGAAATCTTAACGTTAGTAGATTTACAGTTTCCTTACGAATATTCAAGTGAAGTAGAATAAGAAATAGTTAGAATAAAAGATCACTCTAAAGGAATGAGAAATATAGATTGTGTGCGCCCATATCAAGTAGCACTATAAAGAAAGTATGAAATTATAGTTGAAAAATATGGATACCCACGACCTTTAGTACTATAGAGAAATCGAGAAAGTAATGTATAATTGATATATGTGGTATATATGGTATATGGCATATGTGGTATATATGGTATATAGTTATATAATATGGTGGTTATTCAAATTTTAATTTTCTTCATAAATCCAGTTTCTTTAAAGAATTTTTTCTAATCCTTCCGATAGTAATAAAGAGGTGACGGTTATTGCTTATATGCCTTTCTGTATCTTCATTTCTGTTCTAATCCAATCCAATCTTAATATACAATGAATTACATGTTATTATCATAGTTTATAGAAATAATATTTTAAATAATAATTTTGTTTCTTAAGGGGCTAATTGGTCAAAACAAAATTACTATTAAATATATTTGGTCATGGAAACTGTTAAGTATTACATTTATTTTGTCTTTTGCTGACCCATGATAAAATGCATTTAACGTAATCGTAATATATTAATAGGTTATATTTTTGCTGATTAGTGTTATTTTATAACTAGGGCAAGAACACATTTTAAATAATTTATTATTCATTGTTTTGGTAAATATTTTATATAATTTGCTTGCTATTAATTACTCATTGTTTTAGTAAATATTTTATGTAATTTGCTTGCTATTAATTATTTATTGTTTTGCTGAATATTTTATGTGTCATTATAAGTAATATTTTTTGCTTGATATTAATTGGGTCAGTAAATTATTGTACGTAATAAGTTTTAGTAAGTAATTATTATAAGAAAAAATGTATATAAACAAATCAATTCTTTTAATAAAGGGTATTCGATGATACAAATTTGAATAGAACTTATCTTCTTTTCATAAAATTACCAACGGGTTTATGTGCTCGGTGGTATCTTCAAGAATATAAAAAGTATACAAATATACCGTCCAACAAGTTACATGTGCTTGGTGGAATTCCGGTATACAAATACAAATTGATAGAAACTTGAGAATAAAAGCATTCTCAACATATTTTGGTGACCCCGACGTGATATTCCTATAAGGACAATAAATAGGAACGGCATTATCATGGAGCATTTCAACACACTTATTGATCAACAACAAGCTATAGGAGCTGAGATCGAGAGGATAATCAGCAACTTCAAGAAGGATCCAGCCTCAAGGAAGACGAATCGCTATTATCAGGATAGAATTCTACGGTTAACTGAACAATGGTCAAGGTTAGAGAAGAACCACAACACGTTATTATCTTGTAAAGCTATGGCTGAAGATACAGAAGACGAGTATTTCACCACGGGCTACTATGAAAAAATGACTGAATTGACAAACAAATACTTGGGTATTTTTAACAAGGCATTAATCGAAATGCAAGAGGTAGAAAATGCTCAGGAAAAGCCGCCAAGGCAACACAATCAAAATCCAATGCAGTTTCAACAAAATGAAGAATTATCAAGAGTGTTGCGTAATCAACGAGCACTCATAAATGTCATTGACAGATCCAGTCAAGAAATTGAAATGGCAAGCCAAGAATCTCAAAATGAAGTTTTCTATTCTTGCAAGCTTGCTTTGATAGAAGGTTATCACAAAGCATTCGATAACAACAATGAAAAAATATGGAATTCTACATCAGAAGAATTCATTGAAGGGTACTCCTGGGAATTGTATTATGAAATTAGTCAAAAACTCCAAGACATGGAGATTTGTTTGAAACTCAAGCTAAAATCATTCAATTCTCACTACCAGCACGATTCAACAATTCAGGCAGTAAAATTACCACAGTTAACAATTCCAATATTTGACGGAAACCAGCTGAAGTGGGTAGAGTTTCGAGACCTGTTTACACAACTTATAGACGAACAACCATTCAAACCTATCCAAAAGATGTTCTACTTAACAACTAACTTGATTGGTGAGCCCAAAAACCTGATAAAGCATTTGCCAGCATCAGCTGAGAACTACATTACCGCATGGGAGATTCTGAAGGCTAGATACAATAATGGTAGATTATTAGTTACCGCATTGTTAAACAAATTATTCGCATTACCAGCAATGACAACTGAAACCGCTTCTGGCCTTAAAACATTGCATGACATTTCACAAGAGTGTTTATTGGGACTTAAGGCGCAGAACATTCCAGTCGAACATTGGGACGTCATAATTGTTCATATGACGTTGAAGAAATTAGACAAGATCACACAAACAGCATTTGAGCAGTCATTATCAAACAATCGAGAGCTGATCACTATGAAGGAACTATTTCAATTTATTGAACAAAGGTTCCAATCGCTAGAAACAATAAATAATAGCGCATCAATTAAAAAATGGGTTAAGACAGTGGCTACAACTAACACTGCACCAGCTAAATGTCCAATATGCAAGAGAGATAATCATCCAATTCATCTATGCAAGCAGTTCCTGGATGACACCCCAGCTAAGAGGCTACATCTCATAAAATCATTGCAACGATGTTTTAATTGTCTAAAAAATGGTCACTTCACAAAAGACTGCACATCAGGCAGTTGCTTAAAATGCAGCAAGAAACACAACACCTTGCTGCATTTAGAAGGCACACTTGAAGCATCCATGATTAAGAAGGCATCATTATCAAAAAATCCTGCTTCTCTGTTCTCCAACAATCTCAACATCCAAAAAAATTATGTGGTATTAGGAACTGCACGTGTTGTCGTTAAAGGCAACAATGGAAGAGAAATTGAGTGCAGAGCATTATTGGATTCCGGCTCCCAAGTCAACCTGATAACCGATCAAATAATTAAGAAGTTAGGTGAAAACCCGAAAAAGACCTCAGCATGTATAGAAGGTGTGGGGCAAAAAAAAAACAAGATGCGCAACAACGAATCAATTTAGCTTTCTCGTCCAGAATTAACGGATTTAGCAGCCGAATAGAGGCTTATGTATTACCTAAGATTGTGTGTGACCAGCCGAGCATTCATATTGAAAGCTCAAGCTGGAAAATACCACAGAACATCAATCTGGCAGATCCGTCGTTCAATACCCCAAACAAAATCGATCTCCTACTTGGAGCTGAGTTTTCTCATCAACTATTGTCCATCGGCCAAATAAACCTTGGCAGAGGTCTCCCCATCCTACAGAACACATTGCTTGGGTGGCTTGTGGTGGGAAAAATATCTAACCAAAATTCAATTATTTCACCACAAGTTTGTGGAATATGCTCTGAAGATGAGCAAGATACGATGAAGGTTATCGAGCGGTTCTGGCAACTAGATGAACCAGAAAAGGCAAACAAAATTCTGTCTCCTTCCGAAGAGTTGTGCGAGTCTCATTTTGCAACTTATATGAAAAGGAATCAAGACGGTCGATTCAGTGTCAGATTACCCTTCAAGCAAGATCCATCGTTGCTTGGTGAGTCAAAACACATTGCCATTAACAGGTTTTTAGCGTTGGAAAGAAGACTCGATAAGGATGTAATACTCAAAACACAGTATGTACAGTTCATGAATGAATATGCTGATCTCGGACACATGGAAAGGGTTGACATCAACCAAGTTAATCCTCATTATGTCATCCCACATCATGGCGTTTTACGGCCCGATAGCAGCACCACGAAATTAAGAGTGGTATTTGATGCATCGTGCAAGACGAGTAGTGGACTATCGTTAAATGATACAATGTTTACTGGCCCTACAATTCAAGAGGAATTGTTTGCGATTTTACTTCGATTCAGGTGCCCAAGATTTGTCTTTTGTTCTGACATTCAAAAAATGTACAGACAAATTATTATTCAGCCCGAAGATCAAAGATATCAATTAATAGTCTGGAGAAGCAATATTAACGAACCCTTACAATTTTATCGATTAAAAACAGTCACCTATGGAACACGATCAGCCCCATATCTGGCTACTAAATGCTTACAACAGTTGGCGAAATCTGAGTTGCAAAAATATCCACTAGGTGCAGCAGCACTAAGTAATGACTTCTACGTAGATGATTGCCTAAGTGGATCAAATAGTCTCCAAACTGCCAAAGATATACAAACTCAGTTAAAAGGTTTGTTGGAATCAGCAGGATTCAAGCTACGTAAATGGTGTGCCAACCATCCGTCACTTCTTCAAAATATTGCAAAAGAAGATCAAGAAGTTGATTTGGACTTTCAAAGTGAGGACGCAACATCAATCAAAACATTAGGATTGACTTGGCAACCAAAAGAAGATCAATTTCGCATAAAATTAAAACTGGATCCACTAAAAATCATTACTAAAAGAACCATTACTTCGAACCTAGCCAAAATTTTCGACCCATTAGGACTACTAGGTCCAGTACTCGTAACAGCAAAAATACTAATTCAGGACCTATGGCAACTACAATTAACATGGGACGAAGCAGTACCAACCGAAATATACACTAGGTGGACTACCTTTTATGACGATCTACAAGTACTAGATCAATTTAAAATAGATCGTCATATATTCGGAAAACAGATGCCAGCACTTGAATCAATACAATTGCACGTATTTTGTGATGCTTCACAAAAGGCATACGGAGCCGCAGTCTACGTTCGAGCGAAACTAATGGATGGTCGACTAATAAATCGATTGTTGTGTTCCAAGTCTCGTGTTGCTCCACTCAAAAAACAAACGATTCCAAGGTTAGAACAATATAAATCATGATGTAGCAACATATTATTGGACTGATTCAGAAATCGTTCTCTTCTGGATCAACTCTTCATCAGCAAGGCATCAACAATTCATAGCAAATAGAATCAATGCAATTCAGGAAATTAGCTTGCCTAATCAATGGCGTCACGTAAGATCTAAGGACAACCCAGCTGACTCATTATCACGGGGTATCAAGCCAGCTCAATTACTCGAAAATAACTTGTGGTTATACGGTCCACTCTTTCTTCATGGTTCCGAAAGCAACTGGCCTGACAAATTCAATAAAACTCTCTGTATTGATCCGGTGAATCCTGAATGGAAACAAACGACAAGGGAAGTGGCCTTAATCTCAACTGATTACGATATCCATTGGATCGATAGAATCAATCACAGGAATTCATTTAGAACTCTACTACATACGGTAGGATATATGCTGCGATTTGTAAATCGGGCAAGGCGAACCAATTTAAGCAATATCACTATGGCTCTAAGCCCTATGGAACTGGAGCTGTCACTCAGGCATATAGTGAAGTACATACAACAGTCAGAACTAAAAGAAGAATTAATTCAGTTAGAACGCAACCAAACAGTAAAACCTGCAAGTACACTTGCTGGACTGATGCCATTTTTAGATGAACACAAGATAATTCGCGTGGGGGGAAGGTTAGAAGCATCATCACTTACATATGATGAAAAGCATCAGATAGTCCTTCCATACAATAACCCTATTGTAAAACTGATAATGAAAGACATACATGAACGAAATATGCACTGCGGCGGTCAAGCACTGCTGGCAGCAGCGAGACAAAAATTTTGGCCGATCAAGGGTAAAATTATGGCAAGATCAACTATTCACCATTGTGTTCGTTGTACTAGATGTAAACCAGTTACTTTTGAACAAGTCATGGGAAGTTTACCAAGGCATCGAGTACAGCCAAACAGGCCATTTTTTAATACCGGAGTTGACTTCTGTGGGCCTTTTTGGGTGCATTATAAGGTGAGAGGAAAACGTGCGCATAAGGCATACCTAGCAGTTTATTGTTGTTTTGCGACAAAGGCAGTACACTTGGAACTGGTAAGCGACTTGACAACAGAAGCATTTATCGGATCATTAAAACGTTTTATCGCACGACGCGGATGCTGCCAAAATATATACTGTGACAATGCAACGAATTTTGTCGGTGCCTCTAACAAGTTGCAGGAATTAACAACAACAATCCATTCCAATGTAGCTCAGGAACAAATAACAAAAACTTGCAGCAACAAGGGAATAGCATTTCACTTCATCCCTCCTCGTGCACCTCATTTTGGTGGACTATGGGAAGCAGCGGTTAAATCAGCAAAGTACCTATTGGTCCGAAGCGTTTCAACTGAAACGTTAACGTACGAGGAACTCGAAACCGTCATTATAGAAATAGAAGCTATTTTAAACTCACGACCTTTAACACCAATGTCGTCTAATCCAAATGATTTGCAGGCTCTCACACCAGGTCATTTCTTAGTTGGTGATGCACTAACAGCACCCGTAGACGCAACATGTGGAAAGGTAAAATCATCTCTTTTGAATAGATGGAATCTGGTTGCACACTTAAAACAAGAGTTTTGGAAAAGATGGCGGGCAGAGTACCTAATGGAACTACAGGTTCGAAACAAGTGGCGTGAAGAATGCAAAAACATTGAAGAAAATACACTGGTGATCCTTAAAGAAGATAATGTACAACCTTTGCAATGGCCTTTAGGGCGAATAATGAAGACATATAAGGGTAATGATGGATTTATACGAGTCGTAGATGTCAAAACCGCAACAGGCATGTTAAAGCGACCAATTCACAAACTAGCACCCTTATTTCCTGAAAACAAACCTAT